TAAAAATCTGTATAATTCAGGAACATCTTTGTGTTCCAGGAACCCCTTGATGGCTGCAACCTTTGATGGATCTGGCTGGATTTTGTGTGGTGTAATCCAATGTCCCACAAACATCAGCTGCAAAGTACCAAAGGTGCACTTTTCATTAAGGGTAACTCCAGCTTCTTGGAGTTTTCTGAGTGTGCATCCACTCTTGCATCATGTTGTGCCTTGGTGGTCCCAAAAATCAAAATATCATCAGCATTGCAAAGAACACCCTTCTAGATCATCCAATATCTGTGACATTTTGCATTAAAAGATCCCAGTACTTTGAGGGTAGTGTTACCTGATCCCCATGATTGTTTAGTAGGGGTAAGGAGAATCTTATCCCTATGTGAGCTATAGTAATCACGGATAGATGAGACTGCTGCTTCTGTATCTATTTTAAATGGCATTGGCTGTCCGTTGAGCTCAATTTCTGTCATTCAGACTCCTGGATCTGATGAAGACTCTGTAACTCCATCTAAAAGTCCTGTGCAATCCTCTGCATCCTGTTCTGTGACTTCACAGACTCCAGTGGTGAAGCGACAAACTGAAGCATGGTGACCTTTCTTTTTACATCACTGACACATCTATTCTGTAGCAGGACACTGAGCATGACTATGTCCTGGAGTTTGTCCACCCCTGTGGCATTGGCCTCCTTTCCCACTTGTTTGTCACTGTGGGAGCTGGTGGGACCATTCCCTGTGTCCCTTGTGCCTGTCAGTTCTGTTTGTATTTGTTTGTAGTTTCTTTACAGTGTGCATTGCATACATATTATGACAGGACTGAGAATCACTCTTGATTTCTCTTTGTTGCTGCTTAACTAGCTCTGAGTGGCAAGCATGTGTGATAGCCTTTGGAGCATTAAATCAGGGTCAAACTGTCATCTTTGTGAGAGCTCTGTATCATGAAGCCCCACAACTAAGCAGTCCCTAATTAGCTCCTCATGTTTTCCATATTGGCAGGATTCGGCCATTGTATACAAAGATGTGATGAATCTGTCCACAGGCTCTGAAGGCTCCTGTTTATGGGTGATGAATCTAGCTTGTTCATAAATCACATTTCTTTTGCCCACAAAATGATCAGTTAATGCTTCTATCGCTGCAGCATATTGCTTTTTTTCTGCATCTGTAAGAGGTAGTGCCAGCAGAATTTCATCCAGTTAATCTCCCATAGAGTAGATAAGAGTACTCACTTGGTAAGCTTCCGACTGTTTGTCCAGGCCCAACACTCCCTGAAGCGACTAAAATGCCTGATCCATCAAGGCCATGTTCCAGGGGACTGGAAATCAAACTGTTCTGGTGGTGCAGTTTTGAGTGCCTGCATGGTCTCTGTAGCCAGCCTCAGCACTGTACTGGGCTCTGCTGCAGGTAGAGGCACCCCGCTCTGCTCTGCGCTGTATTCAGCTGCTGCTAGAGTCAGATCCATCAGCTGAGAATCACCTGTTTGATTTCCTGTTGGTGGCAGAATTTGCCACTGCTAACACCATGCGTTAGTCTGGATCTTAGGATGAAGTAGTAAGACTCTTTGTCTTCATTCAGCCTTTATTGTAACAATTAACCCCTGACCCAAAATGGTCAACTGACCCCTTCCTGTGGATGACATCACTCTTTAGTAAGGAAGTTAACCCTTACTACTACAGGTGGGATTTTCATGGAGACTAGCCTGGGACCCATGCAGGCAGGACACGTGGCCGCATAGGCAACGCGTAGGGCAGGCACAAGAGGGGCACGTGCCCCGCCCCGAGATTAGCCACCTAATGCTAGTTCTACAGGCAGGGGCATGCAGGGAGCAGATCGTGGCTCTCCCCAGGCCCAGGCCCAGGCCCAGGCCCAGGCCCTGGCCTCATGTTGTCACAGCCCCACAATCCTGGACTCAGTCTCCACCCTGGTCCTGTCCAGCAGTTCTGCTCCTAGATGCCACTCTTCACCTGCCTGCAGCCCCATTCCCTCTTCCCAGTCAAGCATGCCCTGCTGGCGTGAGTCCCAGACCAGTCTCCATGAAGATACCAGGATCACTGGGAAGTGACAGCATGGGGCATCGGCCTGAGGAAGAGCCATAATCTGCTTCCTGCATGGCCCTGCCTGCAGAATCAGTGTCTATCACAGGGGCATGCAGGGAGCAGATCGCAGCTCTGCCCCAGGCCCTGGGCCCCAGCCTCACACTGTCACCACCCAGTGATCCCATCCTAGGCCCTAGCCCTATCACTGTCCCTGTCCTTGCCTGCCCATTCCACTCCCAGATGCTGCTCCCCGCCCGCCAGTGGCTCCATCCCATCTGCCTGGCTGAGTGCAGGGCAGAGCCACTTGGCAGTTTTGGTGAGCTGTTGCGGGGGGAGGGAGAGGAAGGTGCGGATCCAGCATGGCAGGGAGGCGCAGGGGGGGTGGCGGGCATGCTGCTGAGCCAACCTACAACAACTCACCAAAACTCCGTAAGTGGCTCTCTGGCCCAAATAATTGCCCACCCCTTGTCTAAGGTGAGCTCCTGCCTACAACTCAGTCAATGCCAATTCCTTCCATCACCACATCCTGCCTTGTGCTATCCTGTGCTGTGCATTTTGTGCCCCCCTTCAAGTGTCACCGATTAACTTCCTTTGCTGGAGTATGCTACTGAATCTCTCTGCCATTGAATTGCCACTGACATCCCAGTTCCATGGGCCAGATACAATCCCTTATGTGCTAGATCTAGTTTGCAGACCATAGGTTACTGACCCCTGTGTTGGAGTCACACATGGGGTGTGTCTACATGTGCATTTACTGCGCAATTAGCAGTTTTTAGACTAGCGTCTACATGTGTAGGCATTACAGCACAGGAACAGTGTGTCTATTCTGACTTGGGAGTAAAGTTACTCCCAAGTCGGTGCACACAAATAGGATTACTGTGCAGTAAGGCAGTATCATGCAGGTAGCAAATTTACTCCCAAGTAAGCGTAAGTCACCATAGTTACTGCGCAGTATGGGTGCACGTGTCTAGACAGTCACCCATACTGCACGGTATTTTTTGTTACTGTGCAGTAACGGTGCATGTGTAGACATGCCCAGGGAAGTGTCAAGTGAGTGTAGATATCTCCAGGGTTAGGTGACAACTAAGTAGGGTTTTTTTGGAATTAGAATTTTGGATTTAGTTATCTCATTTCCACCTAAATTCTGATTTAGACAAGCCTTGTACTGAGCCTAGACCTTAGGGTTAATGTCTGCCTTTAGTTACAATTATTTAATTATTTATTAGATAAGCAATCCAGTGACTTCAGTTGTGTTTTGAGTGTCACTGGGTACTGAATTTGTTTCAGTATTTTCTTTGATCAAATTCTGCCCTGACACACACTACATGCAATCCGTTTGATTTTAATATGCATACAAAGAGCGTCAGAACAGAATTTAGCTTTCACTGTAACTTCTTATTTTAGAACCATCTGCAGCTTTACAAGATTTGAAAGCAGGGATTTCCCTTTTTCTCAGTAAGCCAAAATCTTGAAAATGAATTTTTTTTATGTCTATTAACTGGACGGATAGCCCCTAATGATGCTTTATTTATTGTATCTCATGACTAATAAAACATACTAACTGGGACTTTCTCATGGCTTTCAATAATAAAAGAAGGATGTTTCCAGGAACTGTAAAAGTAGGATGAAGGATCATAGGGCACCCATACGCATGCAGCAAGCCTACTCTGACACGCTGTAATTAATCGAGTCTGCTGGAGCGTGGTAATTATGAGTTCGATGAGCTTTAGTTAAAGTGCCCCCACTGCTATTTTTTGAGTGTGAGGACACTGATGCATGTGACACTCCAGATGCTTTAATTAGAGCCGCTCTCAGAGCCACTCTAATTAAAGCACCCTCCTCCCCTCCGCTCCCCCCACAAACACTCCCAAAGCATACGTATAAACACCCATAGTGGTTATAGATGGACTTGTTTGAACATTGAGTCTGTTCAGTTGTAAGGGTAATGAGCAATGCATAGGCTTATGAGCTAAATACGGGATATTGCATATCTTGACCTGTGGGTGAGCAGTTCTCAATCAACCCAAACAATTAGCAAAATCACTTTATAGTACCAAAAAGTTACAACTGAATAATTTTAAAGTACTGGTTATTTAAAAAAAATTAAAACAACAAAAATGGGAGGTAGACCTACAAATTGCTTTTATGCTTCAGGGGCGGGGGGGAGGAGGGAAAAGAAAGTCAAAAAGATTTATTCCTTGGGGTTTTTTTAGTATTAAGTTAACCTGTGCTATAAGATTGTAATTACCTGTAATTTTCTGGTATTGTAACAGTTAAATTTACTCATGCTTTCCCATTGATCATCAATGAGACTTAGGCTCCCAGGTACCTCTCACTTTTGAAACTGGGATTTTGCTGCCTAAATCATTTGGGCCTTGCAATGCAGAACAGAGCACTGCCAAAATAATTTTAAAAATCTGGGTTTTCCACTCTTAACTAATTTAGCTACCTTTGAGATTTTAACCCTAAAAAATATTCTCTTATGGTAGAAACCTGAGGAATTTGTTGGGTGTAATATTGCACAAGCTACCCTCTGTGTCAGAAGAGTGATTTTCTTTGCGTACTTTAATCTGACAGCTTTGATTATTTTATTGCTATAAGTGCCTTTCAACATCTATAGCAGGGGTGGGCAAAATGCGGCCCACCAGGCCATTCTATCTGGCCCACGGGGCCCCTAAAACATTTAGAAAATTAATATTCATCTGCCCTGGGCTGCCTGTCATGTGGCCCTCGATGGCTTGCCAAAATTCAATAAGCGGCCCTCTGCCCAAGATAATTGCCCACCTGTCACAGAGCACTGAGGTACCCTGCTCCCAAAGAGGGGAAACTGCTAGGGCTTCCTCCCTAGTAGGGAATAAGGAGCCCAGCTGTAGGTTGCCGGGGCAACCAGGGAAGGTCAGCTGACCAGAAGGGGCAGGGCCTGGCTCCCTTATAAACCCTGGGGCTGGGGCTAGAGGCAGTTCCTTGGCAGCAGTCAGAGAGGTAGAAACTCCCTGAGCAAAGATGTGAGGAGAAGTCTAACCGCAGGTACAGCCCAAGCCGGGTAAAGGATGGCAGCCCTGGGATGTATGAGCAACGTGGTTTTAGCCGGGAGGCTTTAAGTTATGTTATAGCCTAGGGGCTTGTGTTTGTTTTGCTGTTTATGACCGGTGGTTTGGGAGAGACTATTAGGGGTTGGAGGAGGCCTCACAGGGGACTCACAGAGGAGTGTGAGGACCCCAGTGCCAGTGAGGGCACAGTGTTCGGGGTGCATAGACCCCAGCCCTAGGGAAGGGCAGTTGAGAATCCCCAGACAGGGGGCATTATCGAGAAGCCCCAGTGAGGGCACGGTGAACCCCGGAAAGGGGGCAGCCTTATTGAGAAGCTCAGTGCAGGCATGGTGAGCCCAGAGAGGGCAGCTTGACAGAGAACGCCCTGAGAGAGGGCAGCAGTATTGAGGAGTGCCCTGAGAGGGGGCGAAAGCCCCAGAAAAGGGGGCAGTTACTGAGAAGCCCCAGTGCGGGCGTGGTGATCCCCGGAAAAGGGGCGGCACTACTGGGGAGCCCCAGAGAGGGGGCAGTTGCTGAGAGACCCCAGAGGAGGGGGCATTATTGGGGAGCCCCAGAGAGGGGGCAGCGTGACTGAGGAGGCCCAGAGAGGACAAAAAGGGGCCAGATAGTAATTAGAATGAGACATAACATCTGTTCCATCGGCGAGGTGTGGACTGCGGTGTAGGGGAGGAAACGGAGCCGCAGATAGCGCCCCCTGGCAGCAGGGCAATATGAGGGCAGCCTCCCACTAATTAACATCAATTAATTAATTAACAGCAAGGCATGGCAGGCGAGAAGGCGGGCAGTTGCCCCAGAAACAGGTGTGCGGGCCACATTTAGCTTGGCCCAGAGCAGATACCTGTTACACCACCCTTGATCTATATCCAACATTTCTCATTTACTTGCCTTAATGTAAGGGAGCTCTTTGCATCAAGGCATGGAGACCTCAGGTTGAAGTGCATAAACTCTAATTTGGGTGGATCTTGTCTGATCAGTAAATAATTAGCATCTATTGATTAAAGTCCCAAAGTCATGTCTTACCAGGGAGACTGTGCAGTGTACATTTTGGAAGGATTCCTTGGGATGGTCTTTTTTTTGTTTTTTTGTTGTACCAAAATCTTGGCCAGTAGTTTGAAAGGCAGGTCTCCAGGACATTAGCATTTGCCAGTCTATTTAGATTTAGAGCACTTACCTAAGGCAAAGGAAGAATGGAAAGATACAGCGTACTCAGGGGAGGAAAAGTAAGTAAAGTTCAGGGCACAATGTTAAGTGTTTTTTACAATGGTCTTCCTCTAGAACAAGAAGCCATCTGATGCTGTATAATATGTTCCTTATCTCCTATTGCATATTATCCTGCTCTTTAAAGGACAAAAACAATTTCAAGAAACCACAAGGGCACATTCTGGGTTCCACATTAACCATGTTACTAAATATAAGTAAACTTGCAATCCCCTATTATATAGGAACAGCTGCTCAGACTGATTTGAAGTAACCTCTGAAACACAAAACATACATAATGCCACTAGAGGGCTCACAGACTATTTAAAGCAGTGGTTTCCAACCTTTTTTCATTTGCAGACCCCTAAAAATTTTTGAATGGAGGTGTGGACCTTTGGAAATTTTGAATGGAGGTGCAGACTGCTTTGAATTGTACATGTGGCTATTCACATACTTTTGCTTGATCACAGTCATCTTTAATGGACCCCTTAGACATAGTCATGTTGCAAACCACTGATTTAAAAGGATACTACCCTATTTTGATATCCAAAGAAATCACCAGTCTAACTTAAAAGGAAAACCCAAAAACCTCATCATACAGAAGCACTGACATTTGCATTACTGTATCAGAGCACACTAGATCTACTCAGTCAGTTAAAACTACATAATCACTATCACTGCCATTATCACTAAACCTGACACTTCAAGGCAGCACATGTCTGAACAGGCAGCTAATGTGGAAATGTTTAAGGCATTGTTCATCTCAAAAAGCAGAAGGAGAAAGGTAATCTTTGAAGTTGCACCATAAAGCTAGAGGGCAGGATCTAGGTTCTGACATACACTATCCTTGGCCAGCTGCTTAAATTCTTTGCCTGTTTCCCATCTGTAAAATGGGGGAAACATTACAAGGCATTGTGAGACTTACCTCAGTATGTTACTACAGTGATTTGACATCTTCATCTGGAACAGTGTAACAGTAGTACCATAAATATTTGAAGAGAAACCTATAGCAATAATATAAGAATTACTACCTTGTATATATACTCACAACAATTTTCAGTGTTTTTTGTGGCTACTGTGCAAAGCTACTAAGAATCTGTGATTAATATATTAATACAGGAGTGACCAAGTTCTGGCCCACAGAGCCCATCATTTGGCCTGTGGAAACTTGGCAGTAGGGTGGGGGGGAGGAGGTTGTGTAGGGTGGCAGCATTGATTGAAATGCCAGAGCTGTGGCAATTAATACTGCTGTTGCTGGTCCTACTGCAAAATTTCCTGCCCCGTGGGGAGCTCTATGGGCCAGATGAGGTGGCCCTGTGCACTAGATCATACCTATGGACCAGCCCTGTGGACTGGCCCTGTACATTAGCTCCAACTAGCAGACCAGCTCTGCAACACTTGTCTGGCACCACCACTGCACTGTGCGCTCATGTAGGTGCTCCCCCTGCTCTGTTCCCCTCTACACCCATCATGAATCAAGGCATGGGTAGTCTGTTTAGTGATTAGCACAAGGCTGGGATCAGAGATCAGGGTAATGGCTAGGTCAAAGCCAGGAGATTAGAGTCGAAGACAGAGCTGAGTTGACAATCAAAGGCAGAGATGAGGAGGCAAGCTGGGTCAATACCTGAAGTCTGAGTGAGGCAAAGCAACGTGCAAGGCCAAGGCAATAGTCAGAGTCTGGGCTACTTGGCAACAGTACGTCAAGCCAGGGGTTGGAGATAGGAGTGCAGGGACCAGCAGAGGGGTCTGGAGACAGCAACAACCTTGTTGTTCAAGCAACTTCTTGCTTCCTGTGCAAGTCTTAAATAGGCCAGAGGACTCAATCCCAATCTTGGAGTCCCAGCCAATCAGGGGCCAGAGGGAGAGGGGGTGCTCCTTTCCTACTGCTCCACCTTTGGTCCCAAACAGTGGCCTGATGGAGGACTATCATGGTGCTTGCCTCTGTGCACCACCAGGACAGTTGCTTGAGAGAGGTTTCTGACACTGCTGCACCTTTCGCCCCTGTCCCCCACCCCCACTGTATTGCATGTCCTCCCACTGCTGTACTGTGTACTCACGTGGCCCCAGCCTCTCACTCTGCTCTCCTATCTGTGCTAGTGCTCTACTGCCTCATCTCCTGAAGCAGAGGCAGGTATTGAAAGCTGGAGGACAAAAGGGGATCCCAGAGCCTCCAGTTGCTGTTGCAGCCAGAGCAATGTGGGAAGCAGCTGCTGTCCAGCAGCCCAAGGGCCACAATTTAACCCTTCAAAGGTCACATGTGGCCTGCAGGCCACCAGTTAGACAGCCTTGCTTTAAGACAGAAACAAGAACTAGCAACTTCATATGAATAAAAATCCAGTTGTACCTCATTTGAACTCCTGAAAGATGATACAGTCCAGCCTCAGAATGCATGGAGTCTCACATTAAAATGAGACTGGATTTTCTGGGAGCTACCTTAGCCAGAAATGTGGTCAGTTGAAGTGTTTCCATGACACTGAATCTCAATCAGCAGAGTTCCAAAGAAATGAGATATATAAAATGCATCATTCTGAGAGATCATGTTATCTTCTTAATCTGTTTGAAAGTGTAATTTTTAGGAAATGAATGGTTGCAACTTTGCAACAAATAGCTATTGGCTACATATGTACCATCAACTGTTCTGCTATTACTGATCTGTGTTACAAAGTAAACTCATCTATGTATGCAGAGATCAAATGGCAAGGTTGTCTAGTGCACTGGTTTATGCAAACAACTGCTGCATGTCAACAAATTAATCAAAGTGAAAAGGAAGCAATCTGTAAAGCTTTCACTCAGAAGACCTAGGTGATTGCTATTAATATGCTTAAAAGTCATGCAGATAAAGTCTTGTGTACTAGCAATATACCCAATCCCCTGAATTTTTAACATGGCGTTAAGTTTCTGATACGGCTAGAGCTGAGAGTCAGCAGGAGTTCATGGCAGCTGAGCTGTAACACTTTTTTCCCCTGATGTGATGTAGGCACTAGAATTGAAAACTTGGCCAATTGCAAAATTCTCATTGATGTTGGTGGGGGGACCAGGATTTCACTCCAGCACTTATCTCAAATTTAAAACAAAAAGCTTGTAATGACACAACTTCAGCAAGAAATAAAATACATACAAATGTTGAAAGAGTTAGATAGAAAGTTAAGGGGAAAAATCTAGTAAGTGGGGGAAAAAAGGGAAAATCAAAAGCTAGTGTTAAATTCTGTGCACATATTCCATGTGCCTAATCATAGACTAAGACACTTCTGCTCCCTTAATGGCAGGCTGGAGTTGCTTATTTTTGCACCTGGCCACAAGTATTTCCTCTTACTGTTTTTTGTTTTGTTTTGTTTTTTAATAATTACTGAGACTGTGGACTCGTTCCTCACCTTGATGGACACCTACTTTACATCAATAGTTCTGTAAAATGTAATACTTACACAATGGTTGCAAATGTAATTAAATATAATTTAAATCCACTTTAAAACCCCTTACAATCCATTTTCTGAATGCTATTAAAAGGGCCATAGTGTAAAAAATGAATCCATACCAGTTTCCATGAGATTTTGGTTTAAAGGCAGTGGGACAACTAGTCTAAGAGTTTGCTGGCCTTTTTCAAGGGTTCACATTTTGGCTGTAAATCTTATCATTTTTCAAAATCTACACTGATTCCCTCCTTACTGTGTGAATGCATGTAATGTGGCTGTCAGCTACATCATTGCAATTCCACTGT